AGATCCGCCACCGCGCTTGCAGCGGTAGGTGTGTCTCAGGCCCAGTCGTCGTGGTCCCAGACGTTCGTGCTGCAACCTCCCCTAAACCACTCGCGCCCGAAGCCTAAGGATAAAGCTGCAAGACGAAGCTCAAACCAGACCCACCAGGCCAGCCAGACCAGATGCAAAAAAAACTGCAATGCACAAACAACTGCAATGCAAAAAAACAATTTTCGTGTCGTCGTGGTCCCAGACGTTTGTGCTGCAACCTCCCCTAAACCACTCTCGCCCGAAACCTAAGCTAAAGCTGCAAGACGAAGCTCAAACCAGACCAACCAGACCAGCCAGACCAGATGCAAAAAAAACTGCAATGCAACAACTGCAATGCAAGAAAAACAGTTTTCGTGTCGTCGTGGTCCCAAACGTTCGTGCTGCAACCTCCCCTAAACCACTCTCGCCCGAATCCCAAGCTAAGGCTGAAAGACGAGGCTCAAACCAGACCAACCAGACCAGTCAGACCAGATGCAAAAAAAATTGCAATGCAAAACAACTGCTGCTTTTCGGTGGTGGTGGTAGTGGTTGCCTCCCCGGACCTCCCCTAAACCACTCTCGCCTGAATCCTAAGCTAAAGCCTCAGCACCAGGCTCAAACCAGACCACCCAGACCAGCCAGACCAGATGCAAAAAAAACTGCAATGCAAAAAAATGCAATGCAAAACAACTGCAATGCAACAAAAACTGCTTTTCGGTGGTGGTGGTGGTTGTTGCTGCCTCCCCGGACCTCCCCTAAACCACTCTCGCCTGAATCCTAAGCTAAAGCCTCAGCACCAGGCTCAAACCAGATGCAAGAAAAACTGCATTTCGGTGGTGGTGGTAATGGTTGTCGCTGCCTCCCGGGACCTCCCCTAAACCACTCTCGCCTGAATCCTAAGCTAAAGCCTCAGCACCAGGCTCAACCAGACCACCGAGACCAGCCAGACCAGATGCAAAAAAATCTGCAATGCAAAAAAAACTGCAGTGCAACAAAAAAACTGCAATGCAAACAATAACTGCTTTTCGGTGGTGGTAGTGATTGTCGCGGCCTCCCTGGACCTCCCCTAAACCACACTCGCCTGAATCCTAAGCTAAAGCCTAAGCACACCAAGCTCAAACCAGACCAGCCAGACCAGCCAGACCAGATGCAAAAAAAATCTGCAATGCAACAAAATCTGCAGTGCAAAAGAAACTGCAATGAAAAAAAACTGCTTTTCGGTGGTAGTGGCTGTCGCTGCCTCCCCAGACCTCCTCTAAACCACTCTCGCCTGAATCCTAAGCTAAAGCCTCAGCACCAGGCTCAACCAGACCACCCAGACCAGCCAGACCAGATGCAAACAAAAAACTGCAATGTAAAAAAAACTGCAATGTAAAAAAAAACTGCAATGCAAAAAAAACTGCTTTTCGGTGGTGGTAGTGGTTGTCGCTGCCTCCCCGGACTTCCCCTAAACCACTCTCGCCTGAATCCTAAGCTAAAGCCTTAGCACCAAGCTCAAACCAGACCAGCCAGACCAGCCAGACCAGATGCAAAAAAACTGCAATGCAGAAAAAAAACTGCAGTACAACAAAGACTACAATGCAACAAACAACAAAAAACTGCAATGCAACAAAATATGCTTTTCGGAAGGGGTAGTGGTTGTTGCTGCCTCCCTGGACCTCCCCTGAACCACTCTCGCCTGAATCCTAAGCTAAAGCCTCAGCACCAGGCTCAACCAGACCACCGAGACCAGCCAGACCAGATGCAAAAAAAAACTGCAATGCAAAAAAAACTGCAGTGCAAAAACAAAAACTGCAATGAAAAAAACTGCTTTTCGGTGGTGGTAGTGGTTGTTGCTGCCTCCCTGGACCTCCCCTGAAACCACTCTCCCCTGAATCCCAAGCTAAAGCCTCAGCACCAGGCTCAACCAGACCACCGAGACCAGCCAGACCAGATGCAAAAAAAACTGCAATGCAAACAAAACTGCAGTGCAAAGAAAACTGAAATGCAAACAAAATCTGCTTTTCGGTGATAGTGGTTGTCGCTGCCTCCCCGGACCTCCTCTAAACCACTCTCGCCTGAATCCTAAGCTAAAGCCTCAGCACCAGGCTCAACCAGACCACCCAGACCAGCCAGAGCAGATGCAAAAAAAACTGCAATGTTAAAAAACTGCAATGCAAAAAACTGCAATGCAAAAAAAACTGCTATTCGGTGATGGTAGTGGTTGTCGCTGCCTCCCCGGACTTCCCCTAAACCACTCTCGCCTGAATCCTAAGCTAAACCTCAGCACCAAGCTCAAACCAGACCAGCCAGACCAGCCAGACCAGATGCAAAAAAACTGCAATGTAAAAAAAAAACTGCAGTGCAACAAAAACTGCAATGCAAAATCTGCTTTTCGGAAGGGGTAGTGGTTGTTGCTGCCTCCCCGGACCTCCCCTAAACCTTTCTCGCCTGAATCCTAAGCTAAAGCCTCAGCACCAGGCTCAAACCAGACCAACCAGACCAGCCAGACCAGCCAGACCAACCAGAGCACTCAGACCAGATGCAACTCCGACCAACTTGTTCTTTGGAAGCTCGGGGTCCCGCCGTGCGCTACACGGCTAAGAACTTGATTTCTGAATCGTCCCCCTGTAGAGGGACAGGGCCGACTCAAATCTACTGAGGTCTCTGCGGGGTCCTTAGAAGAGCTGGTCACTCTGCAGCTGGCCAGCGCACTCGGCACGGCGGCCCCGCCGCCGCACCGAACCAGGGTGAGCGCAGAGGGAGGATGACGAGGAGCTGGAGAAGGAGGAGTCGGGGAGACGTGAGCCTCGGGTACGGGGGACCCGGGTTAGCCGGACGGAGGCCACCATGAGAACGACGCGACCCGATCTGAAATTGGACGCGGGCTCCCGCTGCAGGCATCCCACGTACG